CCTCCCATTCAAGCGTGTCCAGTTCTTGGAGACTTCCTGGATCTAGTCCAGGGGTAGGCAACCTTGGCTCTTTTATGACTGGTGGACTTCAACTCCCAGAATTCCTGAGCCAGCCATGCTGAGGGGAAAGAGAGAGGTTTCCAAGCTGAGCCATGCTGGCTCAGGAATTCTGGGAGTTGAAGTCCACCAGTCATAAAAGAGCCAAGGTGGCCTAGCCCTGATCTAGTCCCTGTAATTTTCTTGGCAAGATTTTTCGAAGTGGTATGCCATTGCCTTCTTCATAGGGCTGAGAGAGGGTGACTGGTCCAAAGTCACCCAGCTGGCTTTGTGCCTAAGGTGGGACTAGAACACACAAGTTTTCTGGTTTTTAGCCTGATGCCTCAACCACAATACCTAGACTGGCTCTCCATTTATTTTTACCCTAAGCTTAGAAGGAAGAATAGAGTCGGTGTGGCTTGGAAGATAAATAAATGAGTACCACGGAACAAAAGGAATAGGAAATAAACACATTCCATTAAGCCAGCAGCATAAAATGCATCTCAACTTGACTTCAATGTCAATGATAAATGACATTAAAAAAGCCGAAAAGGTAACAATGGAAGTGAATATTTGTAGCTCAGGGTTGAACTGTGGGGTCCTTGGTGCTCTCAGAGCTTGGTACTTTTCTTGCAGGCGTTTCATTACCAAACTTGGTAACATTATCACTGCTAGCATGCACGAAACCTTTGCAAGAAAACCACCAAGCTCAGAGAACATCAAGGACCCCGCCAGCCTTAAAGGCCCTTTTCACATGAACCAAAGCAATGCATTTCATTTGGGGTGCCATAGAATCAGAGGTGAGATCAAGAAAGTTCCATCCCTGAAATCAGAGCTGGAGCTAAAAGGTTCATTGCCCCCCGTTCGTGGCAGGATACATTGTGACTTGCCATGTCATGAAAAACCACCCCAAGTGGGGATGTGGCGAGTGTACAAGGCATGGAGAAATATGATCAAATGTTCACCCTTCAGTGTGGCTTTTAGATTTGTGGGATAAGGATGGGGTAGTGCAGGGGTAGGCAACCTTGGCTCTTTTATGACTGGTGGACTTCAACTCCCAGAATTCCTGAGCCAGCCATGCTGAGGGGAAAGGGACAGGTTTCCAAGCTGAGCCATTCTGGCTCAGGAATTCTGGGAGTTGAAGTCCACGAGTCATAAAAGAGTCAAGGTTGCCTACCCCTGGGGTAGTGTCTCCTTTTGCTTACAAACTGGGACAGGAAGAGGAGATTGGAAGTCTGAAGCAGGATATGGCTTCTGTTTTTGAAAACTTTAGCTAAAGCACAAGGTCAGAGAGAAGAAGCAGCAGGAACAGCAAAAATAAAAAATAAAAAATGGGAGAAGTTTCCATACATGGTACATCAGGCTCTGGGGCACTATCCAACTGGTGCTGCAGGTTTCCCAAAGCTCTTTGTTTGGAGCCCAGTTGGGCACGCATGTAAGCAAGCATCTTCTTCAGCTCCACCATATGGAGAAGGAGCTGTTCAGGAGCCTAAAGGGAGATTAAGAAAGCAGAGGCCCCAGAGTGAGAAAGACCACTCACAGATAGCATATAGCAATAGCACTTACTCATACTGCTTCCCAGCCCTCTCTAAGCGATTTACAGAGTCAGCCTCTTGCCCCCAACAATCCGGGTCCTCATTTTATCGACCTCGGAAGGATGGAAGGCTGAGTCAACCTTGAGCCGGTCAGGATCGAAACGCTGAACTGCTGGCAGCAGGCAGTCAGCAGAAGTAGCCTGCAGTACTGCATTCTAACCACTGCGCCACCACGGCTCATATATGAGATTGCATGGATCACAGGAACGTGAAATGGGATTCCAGACCAGCCTCAAGTGGAACGCAACTCATGAAAGGCAGATGCAACATTCTCCACTTAGAAAAAAAAAAAGAAATCAATGCAACATCGTAGGCTTCTAGTACGGCGACAGCATTACAGAAAAGATGCTGCTGTAACTGCAGTTCAGAGCAAGCTGAACACTGAGTCAGCATTATACAGGTAGTCTTTGACTTATGCATACCAGTTCCCCAACCTTTCCCGCTTTGCGGACTGGCGGGAGGATGGGGGTCGGGAGAGGGGATGGGTCTGCGCGAGCAGTGGGCACAGGCATGTAGCTCCATTTGCGTGAGCGGCAAGCACACACGCATGGTGCTCACACAAGTGGAGCGTGTGTGCACACACTCACACACTGCTCACATAAGTGGGGATGTGCATGTGCACACTTGCCTGCCACTTCCGCAACCCGGTTCCAAACAGCTCAAGGCCCAGTGGTGGGCTGTGGCCCAGGGACCCCTGATGCACACAATTGGGACTGGAGTTTCCACTGTAAGTTGAGTCGGACCTCTTTTATAATTTGTGTGGCAGTTCAGCAAATCCAACTTCCCCGATGGGTGTTTCCCCCTCCCCAATCCCCCCCTTTTTTTTTGCCAAGAACCATTACATGGCTGCAAGTGGCTCTCCAAAGCTGTAGATATGGCCCTGGGTCTCCTCTAAAATCAGCTTAGTCGTTTTCAGGATGCCTAAATGGGAAAATGACTGAAAAGACACCATTTTACTAGTAGCGGTGAGTGAAATGTACATCAATCAGATTTTCGTTTGATACGTTCGCCCTTTGCACTCCATAGAACAAGCGTGGTTTTTGCTTCCGCTTTATTCCCCCCCATCCCCAAAGTTTGTCTCCATTCCTTAACGATTATGATTAAGCTGGAAAATGGAAGGGAGGGTGAACAGTCTCTAAAACAATCCAAAAGAGTTTCACCTGACTCATCTTAGATGAATTCAGCAAATCAGACCAGAGAGGCATATCATACCTTATAAAGGGGAAAGCTAATTCCATTGCATACGTTAAGGAAGGCCCGATTTTCGGACGGTGCTGTCCGGCTTAAGCAATGGATAGAAAGTTTGTGGGCTGGGATGTGTTGAGACCTGGAAGACAATGGCAGAAAGGGTTTTTTCCCCCCCCCTGCAATTGGACCTACATTCCATCGACCATCATTAAGGCATGCCAATCCTCCACGCTTTAAAAGAAAATCAAGTCTATTTTCTTTATATACAAAAAATCCGGGGCCAAAAGTACTCCTGAATTTTACATCAAGGAAAGACAAGTACCAAGAAAGGTAAAAATTACGTTCGGTAAACCCCATTTGTAGGAAATGACCCTCAGGAGAAGAGAAACAGGATTATTTTACTGCTTTCACTGGCAGACCACCTGCTTTTCAGCCTCCCTCACCAAATGGCAAGCCATCCAAGTCATTTCTCCCAGCTGATTTATTTCTCAAAGGAAAAAAAAAAAAAGGGTAGTAACATAGGGCTCTTGCGAGCTTTGGAAAAAAGGAAAGTCTCTGGAAAAGGACTCAAAACATTTCCCCCCACCCCGTGCCCGCCCAGCAGAGTTACACCCAGCCACATGGAGACGCCAGGAGATGACTCACCCAGCTATCTGGCGAGTCGGCAGACAAGGCAAGGCAATGGTTTTGAAATGCTGGACCTCACGGCCTATCCTGTCGTGAAGCTGCTGGGTCTCCAGCTGCACCCGTTGGGCCTGAGGGAGCAGTTTTTTCTGTATGAAATCCTGGATCTGAAGGAGAAGCACAGCTGTAAGTCAACTGGGTTCCGAGTAAGCGCAGAAATAATTTTCAGGGAAGCAGCTTGTCAGTAATCCCACGGATTCTAGAAAGCGCGGTGGCTTCAGAACAGAATCCAGGGTTTCCCGACCTTGGCAACTTTAAGATGCGTGGACTTCAACTCCCAGAATTCTCCAGCCAGCTGTGAATTCTGGGAGTTGAAGTCCAGGCTAGGACTTAAAGTTGCCCAGGCTAGGAAACCCTGGTGTAATCTGTATGCTGAAGGTTTGAAATCTTAACATCTCGAATCTCAAAGGAGTCAAACAGGCGATGAGCAAAGGCCTCTGGCAGATGGGCTGAATGGCAATCTCACCTCAGCCTGGTCCTTGCGAAGCTGGGATTTGATATATGAAGTGCCTTTGATAAGGGCCCGAACATGTTGCTGTTTCTCATTCTGTGGGAGGGAAGCAGAGAAGTAGACCCACAGGATGAAAGTCCCTCAACAAACTATCACATTCTCCCTTCCCTCAATACCAGGAGTTGGACTCGAAGGACTTTTTATCTTTTCCAAAGTATTTTCAATTACACAGGCATTCTTAAAAGTTAAAACTGTTTTCAAAACAAGGCCCAAACTTGCAAGATGTTAATTTTTACAAGAGTCCACCTACTTAAAATGTTTGAAAAAAAAATTGTTTTCAGGGTTAAAAATGTCATTTTTTTTCCTTAAAAAAAAAAAAAAGTAAACGTTTGCCCGGGACAAAAGGATAGAAAACCACGAAATAAAACAACTGCTGCTGACCTTGGGCTGTGCCTACCAGTTTCCTGAACTAAAAGCCTGCCCTCTTTCCTCCCATTCCTTTCTCCTCCTTCTGCATACCTACCACCAAATGGCGGAAGTCCAAAATGCGCTGGCGTTTCGCCTGCAAGCTCTGCAGTTCTGCGTACCGGGCCTTCACCGCTTCTTCCAGTTCCTGACAGCCCAGCAGCAGCCCATCCCTGTATCCTCGCAGCCTCACCGCACGGAGCTCCATCTCAAAGGCCGCTCTGGATTGCGAGAGGGAGGGACTGAGTCAGCCTAACTCGGGGGTCCCCGAGGTTGCGGAGTTTGCAAACTACCAGTTCGAAACCACTGGGCCGCAGCCTGTTTGAAACTGGGCCGGGGGAGAAATGGGCAAATGTGCATGTGCAAAACTCTGCTTGTATGAGTGGAGGGTACTTCCACTCACGCGCGAAGCTCTATTCACAAGTGCCCTCTGCTCGTGCGAGTGGAGCTTGACATCCTAGCTCAGGGGTAGGCAACCTTGGCTCTTTTATGACTCGTGGACTTCAACTCCCAGAATTCCTGAGCCAGCCGTGCTGAGGGGAAAGGGAGAGGTTTCCATGCTGAGCCATGCTGGCTCAGGAATTCTGGGAGTTGGTCCACGAGTCATAAAAGAGCCAAGGTTGCCTACCCCTATCTTAGCTCAAGCGCCTGCCGCTCACACGAGTGGACCTCTACGTGTGATCATAAGCACCCTTCGCTCGTGCGCAAAGCTCCATTCATGCGAGTGGATGCATGCACACTGCCCTCGCACTAATGGAGCTGTGCGCACACGCGCATGCCTGCCACTCCAATGCCTTCCTCCCCCACGCCCAGCCAGGCCGGCAAGCTGGAAAGGTTGGGGACCGCTGGCCTAACTTACAGATCTGGTTGTTTCAGTAAACATTTGGGAATTAAGTACAGGTGATCCTTGACTTACGGCCACATTTGGGACTGGATTTTCCGTTGCTAAGCAAGGTCGCCCGATTTTTATGA